TTTAAAAACATGTGTCTTTCCTGGTAGAGTACAAAGGTCAAAAGATGTGGAAACAACTGACAATCAGACACAATAGAAATAATACATATGTATTTTATTCCAGAAAAGGGATCAAAAAGAAAAACAACCTTTGCTGAAGAGAGACGCATAAAATTTTATCTCGTCCATAGTTCAGCTTTATTCACTCATATATATAATAATACAAGAAAATCCCCCGTAGAGATCTCACTTAAATTTTATTTTTCATTTTATAACAAATGATATGATACCAGATTAGACTATATAGGGTGTAGGGGTTGGACAATGCTTCTTTCTTATTTAGCTTTAGCGCAATTGAAAAATATGGACAAATCAACGTAACGAAGAATTAGGTACATGCTGGTTTCAATATTATATTTACATTCATTTCAAAACGGTAAAATTTTTAACTTTGAAGAGAGATATATACACCACAATAAAATAATCACAAATTCTAATATTAGGTAGTTTTGACTGTTAGATGAAACAACTCATCATATTATATGAACAAAATGCATACTAACGAATGTTATACTTCTACTTATATTATTTTGTAAAATATAATTTTTTTTAATCAATGTATGCATATCTACGGAAAAAGGTATGGCGTCCTAAAAATTATACTTGTTTAACAAAAAAGCTAGTGAGCATATAAGCCACTCCTATTCATTTGTTTTTCTAATCTATTAATATATAAAGAGACAATGATATTTACTAGATAGTAACTAAAAATCACTAAAAAAAAAAATCCCGCCTAAATTAATGTAATTAATGTACAGAATCATTTTAGTCAAATATTTCGACTATTACCTTTATTATTTGCATAATTTAAATTTGAAATATAATATATTGACCAAACCTGCGGTTGTTACCTTTATTAGTTGCATTGTTTAAATTTTGTATACAATAAATAAGAAGATTTTTATTTAAAATTAAATCAAAAAAATAATTATTCATAACTTACGGGTCAATATTAACTTGGACGTAAACGATATAGTCAATTATTTATGGTTTAATAAACTACTCAATAACATACGTGATGAGTCTACTTCAGGATCTGAAGTGAATCGGTGGTAATGAGCTTCGATCTGTCTGAATCGCCCTCGAACCGTTGCTAGACCGCGATAACACCTGCAAGAACTCAACGCCGGAAGTATTTCCGGCGTAGAGCCTCCGACGCTCAAGTCAGTATATGGAAGAGATGAAGAAGAAAGTTGCTCTCAGAGAGCAGCAGCAGCAGGAGAGGAAGTGTATGAAATGAATGGAAGTTAGGGTTTAGGATTACCTCACCTCCTTTATATAGGAGGAAACACTTACTTTGGAGTACCCCCGAAATGCCCATGTTGGTTTACCTGAAAGGTCTAAATTGCCCTGGTCGATTCGTCTCCCCTTACTGCTGAGTCATCACCAGATTCTTTGTTATCCGTTAGAGGATATGAGACTTCAAGAGATATTATAAGTGTGCTGAGTCGACCTCGAGCACTGGGAGGTCGACTTAGGATCATATGAATATTCGGAGGCCACGCTTGCTCGCCTTCTAGGTGGAAGTCGACTATACAGGTCGACTTATGAGAGTCGATTTTGACGTTATCGACTTTGGTCAGACCGGTTTTCGTGTTGTAAAGAGCTCATGCAGAACCATCAACTGTCCGGAAGTCGACTTGCGGGTGTCGAGTTGGAGATATTGGCATGTGGGCAGTTTATCTCGTCATCTCGGTCAAACAGTTAGTACTTGGACCGATATATCATAATATGACTATATCAATACGGGTCAATATTACTTGGACATAAACGAAATAGACAATTATTTATAGTTTAATAAATTACTCAACTACTTAATTTTTTTATTTGAATAGTTTATACAAAATAAATTTATTTTAAGTAATAAAACAATATAAATTTTATATTTATACTTATTATTTATATAAGTTGTTAAATATATGATAAAACTTTACCCAAAATACTATTTTATGAAATCACATTATATTCAAATCGAACTTCTGAATAAAAATTTGGAAATGACACTTATTTTGAAACGAATATACCTATTTATTATCAGTTATATGCACCGCACGGGTTGTATACTAATTTTAAATAGATATTTTTATGTAATCTAATTCAATTTAAACTTTATATAACATTATTAAAAAATTAATATAGGCAAATTGTATTACATATTGATTCTATATTTTTAATTTATAAATATTAATGAATATCTATTACCCGTGCACTGCACGAGACTCGTACTAGTTCAAAATTTATACCAAAAAAAAAAAAGCATTTCCAGAATTTGACCAACTCTACCATAGAGGAAGAGAGTGATTTTATTAAATAATTTGGTGAGGTATGCATATATAGTACAGCACCAACTATAAACAAATATTTCCATAATCAAGTATATGAACAATAAACACAACCATAGGTGAAAAAGAAAATATCATCTTGTATCAGCCAAGGTTGAAAGTGGAGTTACTAGAGAGTATCTGTAAATAGAGTGGTCAAATTCAAATTTATCTTTACTAACCATACTTGGCCAACGACATCATAACCCTGCAAAAGTAAATGAAATATCACAGATCAAATGTGCCGAGATAATATGTGAAAGAGCATAAAAATCTTCGGGATTTTCCAAATACTAAACTAAGCTACGAAAACGTTGTAAAGAATAAGAGGAAGAATAAAGAAAAAACAAGTAAAACGAGAAAAATGGAGTTAACAGCTGGAACAGCTGATGATTGATATCTGGATAAGGCTTTCACATGTTATGAGGATACACAGAAAGTTGACATTTACAATTAATAGATTGACGACTATACTTTCAGATATATTGAAAAAAGAAGAGGAAAGAAAGATTTATACAAACTCTTATAAGACCAAATCTAAGCATATCCTAAAATATAGGCTGGCCAATTGGATCATCTTCAATCAAGATTTCCAAACAATTAAA